ACGGGGAGTGAGCTTGTGCGTAGAACTTACCTGTAAGAAAGTTCTCTACATCACAGGCCTGAGTTCAAGGAGGATTGGGTGAATAGCCCCCTTGGTGTACCAGCACGTCTTTTGGCTTAAGTACCGAGCGTGTGCTGTGGGACAGCCTGGGCATAGCCATCCGACAGCCCCGGGTTTGAATTACAGCTTCCCTATACTAGCTGTGTGACCTTGGGCAAGTTACTTCACCTTTCTGAGCCTGTTTCCCAGTCTGAAAATGTGGATAACAGCACACTACCTTGGAGAGTTATCTTGAGAATTCTGTGTAAATAATGCATAAAAGCAGCTGGGTTATAGTAGCTCAATAAATATTATAATGTTCCTTTTCCCCTTAATAGGATTCAAATTAAACATACCTTTCAGGCAAAGGTCATTATATTGTCACTGCCTTGACACCAGCAACAGATGTTCTTTCCTTCGCAGGGAAGAAGGAAGAAAGAATAGTTTCTGCTCTTCCAGAATGTAACTGATGAAGTCAGACAGTGCAGTAGTTCCCGAGAACGAAGGCCTAATAGAGAGCCACGCTATTCCTGCTATTCAGAGACGCACGATGGCATCCCACAGTTGCGGCCAACCACAGGGCAGTTGTGACACAGTTGTCGTGGCCTGCCTATGTATGAACTTGGTCAGAGCTGTTAATATGATCACCGCTTTAATTATGTGCACTATTGGTTCCACTCATGTTGTGGCTAATTGCCATTTAAAATGTCTCCAAAAACGCACTCGGAATCGGCTTTGAGATGCAAAGTCACCGTGAATACTGAAAGGCACCCAGAGCAGAGCAGCACGGTGTTCATTTGCTATTAGTTAAACAGATATTTGCATTGCTGTGTTCTTGAGAAGCTACAAACAAGTTCTTTGGGGGACCTAATAAAGGACGGTAGCTTCTAGATGAAGTTGGATTATGTCTTGTTACTGAGATACCCTTGGGAAAACACGCACGTTGATGACTGAATCAAAATGATGCAGGGTGGTCAAACTCCGAATGTTGAAGGAGTGTTTTAGGAATTGCTTAAACAAATGTATTTTGCTGTATTTTCCTTTTAAGGTGAGTGATCAAGAGTGATAGGTGATTTTTAAATTTTGTCATTGTAAGTGGTGAGGAAGTAACAAATTACAGTTTACTTGTGGTCTTTTGCATCCTTGGTGGTATATAAAACCAAGAGTAAAGACTGCCTTCTGAAGAAAGTGTCAAGCAACCTACTGAGCTCAGTGAGTAGAAGAGTGACAAGAGTGTGCTTGGTGTCAGCAGCACATGTGCCTGACGATGCATAGCAAGCACCTCACGCTCATAATGGAGTCTCGACTGTCCTCACCAGGGCTTTGCCAGGTATCCCTCAGAACCAGGGCAGGAACAAGAAATCATTCTTTGGGTGCTAAGCAAATGGGTCCAGTGGGACCAGCCATGTCAGGGCCTCAGAGAGAACCCATCTGGACATGAGAAGTTACTGAGCCTACCGTGTGCTACTCCTGTAACAGGCACTTCATGGGTTATCTCCAACCCTTGCAACAGTCCTGGAAGATTTCCAGTGGGGCAGGTCCTGCACTTTTAGGAAGCACTTTGCCAAAAAATAACAAAAGATGTAAAAAAAAGAAAAAACAAAACAAAAAAACCAACAGCGCACACACACACACACACACAACAGCCCTGCCTCTTGATTTAGTAATTCCATGATTGGGAATTCGTGCCCATGAAGTTGTTCATTTTCATTACTGCATGACTTATAATGAAAAGTTGGAAGCGACTTAATATCTAACTCTGGAAATAGGGTGCAGCCCTAATTTACTGCATCCATACCTGGTGGAATATTACAGTCTTTAATCACAAAGATTGTAGTCTAATATGGGAGACGTTAATGTAGCCAATGAGAAAACAATAAAATATGTATGCATTCTATAATTTCGAAGGTATAAATATGTTTGTTAAATGTGGGCCAATACTGGATAAGAAAAGTGTGAAAATAAAAATAACGTTAAGGTGATGTGATCCCCCTCCCCCAAATTTCTCTTTACCATAAAAAGCCAAAGAAAAGAGGTTTCCAAAGAAAGCAAGTCAGTAGCTACAATCACTTTGAGGTTTACTGAGAATAGAAATTTTCAGAACACACCTAGAATTACCCAGTTACATATTTGCTACATTGAGATGTTAAGGAGACTCTGGGTTTCCTTTTTTTCCCCCCATTTTCCTCTCCCCACTTGGAATTTGTAATTAGTATCTTTGCAGAGCAAAATGCAGTCAATTCAGGGAAGTATTTGAGGCTTTGTAAGCAAATGATGACAGTGTAAAGGGTATTTGTCTAAATTTGCATTTATACAAAACCTGGAGCTGCTGTGATTTCGGAGTAAATGTGCTTTCAATATTTTCTAAATACAGAGCTGTTGCAGCCCTAACAGTACTTGGCTAAGAAATTGCACTTCTATGATAGGCCATAATTACCCTTTGGGAAATTATTGGGCTTAAAAAAATTGCCTACCTAATGATACCTGAAGGGTGAGTCCCACTTTGTCCCATTTTGCATCTGTAGTCACTTCTGCAAGACTCCTTTTCCTCTCTTTAAGAGTATCACTGATTTTTATTGCAGGACAAAAGGGCATGGCATTAAAACCTACATATTTAAAATTCTAGAAAACATTTCTTTTTCAGGTAAGAGCCTTTAGTTATACAGAGACTTTTGCAGTATTTATTTTCACCTCTTACACTTGTTTGAACAGTCTTTTTCTGTACATTAACTCATTTGCTGGAATTTCAGTTCTGAAATTCTAATTAAAACTCCACGTCCTTTGTCATTTGCATGATTAAACGTAGGAGCTGGAAAAGTTGATGAGATTTGGTTAAATATTATGGATTGGAGTTTTTCTCCCTTCTATGTGTTAGGTTGTGCTTCTGGACAAATTAATAAGTGGCCATTTTTCTGGAATTCTGCACTCTTCCTGCTTCCTTTCATTACATTAGGCAAGGTTCCACTAGATGAGACATTTGCAGTCTTAAGACTTCCTGCCAGGGTTCAGACTTTGTATTTTTGACATTGAAGCTGTCGCGTTCCTGAAGCTACTTAATTAGAAACACATTCATTTCAGTGTACACTGGAAAAAGCTTGGACAGCAGAGCCCGGCACACTGGGAAGTTTGAGCATTTGTGTAGCTGGCAGCTAAACTAATGGTTTACAGTTTAAGCGAAAAAAATATCATAGGGCATTTCCTTGCCCCTAGAAGCGAAGAGAAGCTGAATGTGCACAGCAGATACCTTTTTTAAAAAAGGAGAGAGGAAGAAGAAGAAAACAAAGACAAGACAACTCCACTTTCACTGCAGTTGTGTGTATAATTCTTTCTTTGGCTATTATCAAATACAAAAGTCGTCTAGAAGAATAGTTCCCAAACTGTGCTGCTAATATTCAAGTCTGTTTTACAGGCTCCCAAGATATATTACTGCTGAGATCTGTAGTAAGGAGGACATTTTATATTCTGGGGAAGGATTTTTGCTTGAAGAATTTTATTTGTTGAATGGTGATGAGGGAATTGTGCCCTCTCTTATTTTTAAATGTTTGAGCAATTTTAAAATGCACATCTGACGTTTAAAAACCTTCATTCCCTATCCATTGCTTTCAGGATAAAGCCTCAACTCCTTAGTATTCAAGTGAAAGCACACCTCTGCGTTCTCACTTCTTACCCCTCTGGTTTCCCCCACCCTGTTCCCAAGAAATGCCATCCTTACAGATCCACTTGCAGTCTCCTGGCTGCCCCAGAGGAAAGGTGCCTGGTCACCTTGACCAGAGCCAGGTATCTTTGCTCTAGGCTCACAAAATAACTTTTGCACCTTTCATAGGATGTGTTACGTACTGGAGAGACCTGGGGAAAAGGTGCCCGCTCTCTCTCTTCCTCCTGCTTCTTGACCTCTCTCCCCTACTGTCCCATCGATGGGAGGTGGGCCCAGGGATTTTAGGTTCAGTGTTATGAAAGTCAGCGTGGCCCAGAAGAAGAAACTTCAGAGTCCTCCCAGGTTTGCTGCTTCCTTCGTTTTATGGCATTAGAGAAGGGGTTTAAGCTCTCTGGGGCTATTCTCTCCTCTGTAAAATGGGGATAACGCCTACCTTATGCCATTGTTATGTGGATTAGGAAAGATGAATTTGAATTTCCTCATATAATGCTTAACCCATTTATTGGTAAGTAGCATCATAAATGATAATGTGTGAGTGCACACACACACACACACACACACACACACACACTCCTGAAACTAAAGGAAATCAGTCCATAATGCCCAGGTTTTAAGAGTTGGGTTCTCTACTCCTGCTCAGTCACTGACTTAGGGAACCATTGCCCTCCCTGTGAATGAAGCAGTTGAAAGGGGCTTAGTGAACTGTGGTGTCATTGGATGGCATGTGTGCACTTGGTGGGGGAAGGCTTGCTCGAAGTTCCTCACGTACTTAGGCCAGTCAGAATGGACAGTTAGATCACATCTCTGGATGGCAGAAGGAAACAGCAAATAAAACAATCATTCTTCACCGAAACACATCATGCCTTCCATTCAACCTTGTTAACTGCTTTTTCTGTTGTAATTGTGGCAATAATAGTTTCCATTTGTGCCAGGAACTATACTAATCACTTGACGTGTATTCTCTCTCATTCTGATCATGAGCTGCCAGTTCAATTCCAGTATCCCATTTTAAAGATGAGGCAACTGAGGCTGTGTAGTCACAGAGCTGCTCCTGAGGGATTAATGCCAAGGTCGGTGCTCTTCCCACCACCCATGCTTGCTTCTCATGCTGCCCACATTTTGAAATTCTCTGGAAGTTTCTAGGCTTGGGAACAAAATGTCACATTAGGATTTTTGTTGTGAAAGGAAATGTAACTGTGCATACGTTTATTAAAACAGTTTTTCTCCAAATAGTGAACCATCTGTAATTTTCTGTCAGAAGCAACAGAACATTAAAGCAGCTATGTGTCTCTGTTTCTCTTCACAGTGCTCCCATGCCCTACCTCATAGGAATCCATTTAAGTTTAATGGAGGTAAGTTGGCGCCTTTCCTCCCCAGATCTCTCTACTTGCGGCTTTGTTTTGCTATGTGGCAATGGAAAAGACACAGTCTCTGGATTCACAGCTCTGCACATGGGAGCATGTCGAAGCAACACCTCATATGCAGCCCCCTCCCAGGTGCACAGAGCTGAGCTTTCAGCGGAGACCCTTTCCACTGGGCTCTGGTTTCCAGTGTTTTTCTACTTTGCTTGGAGATTGTCAATTTTCATGGGTGAGGGAGTGAGGTTCAAAGAGGCAAGAGGAAGGGGTTCTTTAAGGGTTTGAATGAGGGAAGGGAAATTGCTTGCTTTTCAAAATGATGTTTATTCTAAATCACTATAACAGTATTACGTTTTCATTGTAGAGCATGTGGTATAAGGAAGTATAAAGAAAGTTAAAATTATCCACAATACCATTATTTCCAGATTCAACTACTGTTAGCATTTCATTATTCTTCCTCCTAGTCTATATTCTGTGAATATATATTTTGTATGAATGTGCATAACCGGTTGTGTGTGTGTGTGTGTGTATAATTTTATGTCTGTTTCACTTAACATTATGGCATGGGGATTTCTACATGTTTTTAATCTACTCTCAGTAATAATAATTTTTAATTTGTTGCCTGTCAGCCCACTGTTTGGATATACCACAACTTATCCATTTTCCTATTATTGTTGGACACTTAGGTTGTTTATCCTTTTCCGCTATTATAAATAGCATTTCAGTGAACATCTTTATGCATAAGGCTTTATCTGCATTTTGACTTATTTCCTTAGCACAGAACCCCCAAAGTAGAAATGCTTGGTCAAAGCTATGAATCTGGTGCCAGATTGCTTTCTGCATGGCTGTACCAATTAGATAGCAGTTCTTTTAAAGGACTTTTCTGTGCTTTTGTAAGTGCCATTGGTTCGTAGACATGAACCTTAAGCTTTTCCCTCCTCAAGAGAGAGTTTAAATTTGTACTAGAGCAAGACGGGGTGGGAGGTGGGGGGCTTGCCTGTTTTGCACAGGAGATACGCTCTCAGAGGGAAAATCTAGAGCCATGTCCGTCTGTGATGATGCTTTGCATGTCTTAAAGGAAGTGCTACTTCTCTTCTTCTGTTCCCTTCATTTCACGTCGACGAGGACCACCTGCTTCTTCACTAACTGTTGCACACTGTGCTATTGTGCTTACGAAAATGAAACAAGTTGGTTATCGAAAAACCTGTTTGTTTGACATTGAGAATCTTGATCAAAATAGACCACAGAAATCTGCTCAAATTTCTAATTTGACAGGACGGCCATGTGGCTCCTACATTCTGTTAACAGTTCCTCCTTGTCATCACCCAGCCCTGAGCACATACAGTACACAGTTTATGGACTATCTTGGATGGTGTATTTAGATCAGATTGAAGAGATTTCTTCTGTGTTTTACCTTTGTTTGTCAAGTTTAGGGGTGTATTCAAAGCTCCTGTGTGAAAAATTGAAAGCGAATCCTTTCTCGTTGACCTTTCATGCCTCCTCTTGCAGAGTTTGAAACACGAATCTAAAGACCATTTGGTCTATCAGAGTCCACAGCTCTTTCCTGCCCCTCCTCCTGCCTTCCAGACTGTTCCAGCACGGGCTTTTCAGACTCCTTTTCATGTGCCTTTACCTTCAGCATTGTCCACGTTTCTAGTCTTAGCTTGCTTTTCTTCTCCACATGCCCTCTAGTCTTCTCGCATAAGGCTTTTTGCTTCAGCTACCGAGGTAATGTCAGTGACTCTCGGCTGTGATTCTAACACTGGCGTCCCTTTCTGTGGACTTCAGATGCAAAGTTTCAAGTGCCAGTTGACTGTCACCTAATGTACTACAGATGACTCAAACTCAGACTTCCCCAAACAGTGCATTACACACACACACACACACACACACACACACAGCCTTCCGGTGCTCCCCATCCCTGTGAGTGGCACCACTGCCTGCAAAGGCACCAAGGTGGGACATGCGGAACATGGCTGAGGGCTCCTCTTCTTCAGTTCTTTCTCTCTAAGTAGTCACCACGTCTCTGACCGGGACTCTCACCCTGTTCCTTCCTCACTGCCTTCATTAATCTTCTTTCTTTGCTCTCTTGGATTCTTATGAAGCCTTCCTTGTTCATTTGATAAGCAAAATGAAGGCCTCCGTGTTCCAGACATTTGCTAGGCTGTGGAGGGATGAAAATGGAGATGAAATTCAAGGCATAGGCCCGACATTTGGTGGAGTGCCTTCTGCCTGGTCCCTGTACCTCTACGGCCCACCTCTCTCTGCCCTCCCCACATCTGGTCCATCCCTCCACCGCTGTCATGCCTCGTGTCCTCTCACTGTCCCTTGCTAGCCAGTGCTCGCAGTGATCCCTAAACACACATGCCCCCCCACACACACCCCTGTGGCTAAGCCTGCCCTTTTCCAGCCCTTCCCAAAAGTCCCCCAGTTGTCATCTTTCACTTCCTGTACCTCTTGCTCTGGATGATAGCTGTCTGCTTCTCTGTCCTCTCTGTCATCCCGAGGAGTATGAGTTCTTTGAGAACAAAGACTGTGCTCCGTTCATGTGGTGTCCTCAGCACCTAGCAGGACGCCAAGCAGGTGCTTTCTGAAAAGAAGGATTGAGTGCCTGCTTGGAAAACTGGAATTCAGAACACATTTAGAGCCTCCAATAGGCATCACTATTTCCAGGGAACCCAGCACTATAATTTTACTTAAAGATGGAGTAAACTTTTGACTTTTTATATGATTATAAGGCATTTTTGAAAAGGCCTTTTGGTAGTAAAACATGCATTGCAAAATATACATAAATTTTGAAGCTAAAATTTGAGACAGTTTTGCGTTTAGGTAAATGGGTGCAAGTCTACTCTCCTCAGCCTTTGAAGGGCTTTAAGTGAGAAGGTTCAGGAAGCACCAGGCAAGATAAACCTTAGACCTGTTTGAAATTGGGGAGGGGTTTGCCATGCTGAACTCCTGTGTGGTCAGCACTAAAAGAAAAACAGAAATAGTTGTCGCCCCGTTCTTTAGGCCAGCTAAGCCACTTTCCAGACAAAGTCGTGTTTCCTGGGTGTGCTGGGCAGCCATGAACTACCCAGTCATGGGTTTGAGTCTATCTCCTCGCGTAGGTTTCAGCTCAGACTTAGTCATTCCTTTGATTGGGTTTATCTGGTTCTATTATACCCTTCAAGGGAAAGAAATGCTTTCCTGAGATTTCTTCCAGGAACTATGGGCTGTAATGCTCAGGGAGGAGCTCATACCTGGGGCCAAAGGAAAGCTCTTTAAGGAAGGAGCTCGGGAAGGCCCATCTCCTCTCGCACACTAGTTTTCTTACTGGCAATTCAGCAAAAAGCTTATTTTTGACTGTCTTGTTATTTTTTCTTGAAAGCTATAGGCACCTTATTATGCCTTTGCATATGTGCCAGAATTTTTTAAACTTCAAATGAATGTGGCAGATGTTCATAAAAGTTTAGAAAAAGCTACCATAGGAAGACTTTTTAACCATTTTTATGACACTCAAATTTGTTGCACAAAAGGAAATATAAATTATAACCTAGTGTTCTCATTTGAAAAAAAGTTATTTTGGGGAAAGACCTCATTCTGGTCTTCCTGCTCTACCAGGATGCCCTTGCTGTGTGTTAAATGGTAACCTTGTCCCCTTAAAGAGTCTGCCTGCCTTCTAAAGTGACAAGTTTATAGTTGATCGTGATTCTTACCCCTCCTTCTGCCTTTTTATATTCTTTCTCTCATTTAAGCAAACATTAATTTGAGGCTAGTGGTAAGTTAGCAGGATAGCCAAGGCTATTGGCATAGACCTAGTTTCTTCTTGGAGAGAATGATCTTGTTAGCTGGCAGCTAGGAAGTACCGAAACGTGGCCAGATTACACAGTGGCTGTTTCCTTTCATTCTTTCAACCTCAGTTCAGTTCAGGAGACGTTTTTGCTGCCCCTCTTCTGCGCCATGGCTGGTAGCAGGTGCCAGGTCACATCTGGCTGATGGTGCTTCTCCTGTTTGTTAAATGAAGACTTTCCTTTCCAAGCCTCACAAACAATGCTTTGTGTCCAGGCCTCAGAGCGACATGAGGGATGGATGCAGGATATCATGTATGTATCATTCCTGGTGGCAGAATGCTCAGGGAGGAGGAAGGAAAGGCGACAGCCCTGGCACGGTTCCAGACGGAGGCTCGGGTTAGCCTGTAGATGCTGCTCCGCCTGTACACAGAGGCAGTGAAGGGTAGTGGTTAGAATGTGGGCTCCGGGTGCTGGCTCCCCTACTTCCTGCTTATGCGATCTTGGGAACCGTAATTGACCTCTTTACCTCTGTTGTCTTATGTATCAAGTGAGGGCAATGGCCATCTCTCCCTTAAAGGACTGTTGGGGGATCCAGTGAGATAACGCTTATTGGGTGCCTCGCACAGTTCCTGGCACATAGAGTTCAACAGAGATCAACAACCATTGCTGTTTTTATTTCCTCAATGGCCTTAAAGCCATTTACATTGATAAGCTGATGGCTTTGAATTCTGTTTCAGAGACACTTAGGTTGCCAGGCTCATCATCCTCATCACCTGGGGAAGGAAAATGTCAACAAAACTGGTTTGTGCTCGCCCTGTTGTCTCCTGGTTTGCAGTGCCAGAGAGACTATGTCAGGGATGGGAGCCGTACTTTTGTAGATTTTGAATGCACCGTCATTCCTCTGCTGGACTGCTCCCCTGCTGTAGGAATTTCAGGCATGATACTTTGTCTCTCTGTATCTTACTTTCTTCATCTGGAATAGTGGTTAGTATCCATCTTTTAGGATTGTGGTAAGGATTAAATAAGGGAGTCCTGTATGTGCCCAGCATGTCCCAGGGCCTGGTCTGTGGTAGGATGCAGTCTACATCCCCTTCTACAGGAATGTTTCGAGAGCCTTCTGCGTACCCAGGCACTGCCTCATGCGAGGAGTTCTGTATGAAATCGTGAATGTCACATAATCCCTGCCTTCACAGGGTTTTGTCTGGAGCAGATGCAGACAAGTGG